CCGCTGCTGGGCACGTTGCCTTTCTTTGTTCTGCGGGAGCTGCAGCCCCGGGCAGGCCGGACGCACCCGAGCAGCCCTTGCCCCCGCCGCGCCGCTTCATTTCTCTTGTTTTGCAGCCAGAGCCTGGTGCCAGGCAGCCCAGAAGTTCACAGGAGGAATCGGAACCAAACTCTGTGGTAAGGAAGGAGCTCGCTGTGGCCAGTAGCGGCTAGTCCAAAAAACCCCCAAAATATGTAGGCATTAAAAAGAGAGAAACCGTCGCAGGCCGCGGGACCGGAGAGCCCCTGCGCGCGGGCACAAAGGGAGCAGCGGGGCCGCGGGATCGGGGCTGCGTTTGACACACGACATTTCGGCTTCCTCTTTTGTCTCCTCGTTAGCTTTGCTCTATGGGGATGCGGAAAAGCCCATGGAAACCGGTGCAAAGGAGGACCCGGGCTCGGAGGAGAAGAGGCCGGCCTGCACCTGCAACACCAAGCCCTGCAGCTGCCCCAAAGCGGATGTTAATTATGCATTTTTACACTCAACAGGTACGGACCGTCCCCTCGCGCGGGTGCTCCGCGGGGCTAATCCCGGCTGGCCGGGCCAGGAGCAGAGGCCGGCGGAGGGGCTGGCAGGTCCCGGAGCCGCCGGGCTCCCGCAGCGCAGCCCCCGGGCTCGGGCGGGCTCTGCACGATCTCGTCCCCGCGCTTAGGGCAGATGGCGCTGCCCGGGTCTGTGAAGAGGAAACATTTTATAACATCAGGATTGAAAAAAGATACCTGCACAGCTTCGCCCCCCGGGCTGCTCTGCCCAAGGACGCAGGCAATAGCGACCTTTTCCTAGAGCGACACCAAGCCCCCGGAATATGATCGCTATTTTTATGCTTTTTTTTTTTTTTAATTCGGGAAATTCTCGCCAACGAGTGCATGTCTAGCGGGCCCCTCTGCTCCGGCACGTCCCCCAGCCCCGGGTGGGGATGTGCTGCCGAGACCTATTCCCACGCGAGCCGCGGGCTCCGGCCCACCGGCGAGATGAGCTCGTTGCAGGGCTGCAGCCACCCCGCGCGACAAACAGCTCGGAGCTGACACCGGGCACGAGCCTTAACTAAACGCAGGAGCTGCACTGGTTCATCCCGTTGAAACCCGCCAGTAACGAAAAGGCAGTAAACGATCAACAAGTTCTTTGCCAGCCACCACATTTGACCAGCCCCGAAGAAAGGATTTTATTGTAAAGCATGCGTATGGCTCGCATTTCAGCCCGTCACTGTCAGTGCAGTCCGGGCACACGTCTCAAGGTGAAATGAGAAATGGCAGCGGGCTCGCCTTCCCCGCCGCAGCTGCAGGAGCTCCCACCGGGGCCCGATCCCTCTCCCACCCAGCGCCGCCGCTGACATTTCTCTCTTCCGCTTCCAGATCTCCTGCCCGCCTGCCACGGGGAGGTGGCGACGATGTCTTTCCTACAAGACGTCGTGGACATTTTGCTTCAGTACGTGGCGAAAAGTTTTGACCGATCAACCAAAGTGATTGATTTCCATTACCCAAACGAGCTGCTCCAGGAATACAACTGGGAGCTGGCGGATCAACCGCAGACCTTGGAAGAAATTTTGTTGAACTGCAGAACGACGCTGAAATATGCCATTAAAACAGGTAATAGAGCGGCCGAGATTTCCTCCTCCTGCCTTGACAAACGTTACTTTCTGCCTCGTACCGAGCCTGAAGCCCGCGCGGTGCCGTGTGAGTGTCCGGCCGTGTCTGGGGGCGAGAGGCTGGCACCGCCG